CAAAGCACCCCGACATCGCTGTCCTCAAATGTCGATAATATCCAACAAGCCTATATACCAAAAGTGAAATAAAAAATCACCTCAAGGACAAGGAATCATTGTATATCCTGAACCCAGACAGATCAGTCTCGTACATATATGCAGATAACAAACAATGACCCAGCGCGCAAAAAAAAAAGAAAAGTAACAGAATTTAACTTTATAAATTAGATTTTTGATCATGTCTTTAAAACTGTATAAAACTACAAAATAAATTGTTATTATTATTTAAATATATATATATATATATATATATATATATATATATATATATATATATATATATATATATATATATATATAATCCTAATATATAAATCCCCACGTTCGCACATCTCTCTCTCTTTCTCTCTCTCTCTCTCTCTGTCTGTCCGCAAAATATTTTCGCCGGACATCACGTCAGAATCGGCAGCGATATATGAAGAACTTTTTACGGACTTTTGTTGAAAATAATATGTTAGATGTTTTAAATGTATAACCACAATTTTAGTTAAAGAATAAAAATAAAAATTAAAGGCGTATTCGAATGTAGAGAAACAGTATTATTTATGCAACCGGAAAAGCATTAATATATGTGAAAAAGAACGCATAAAACTGTGACGTCACTATTGCTTATACATTAACTAATGACGTCATCTGCCGTGTTTAGAATAAAAAGAAATGAACTATTTCATTCAAATTTGATTTAGATCTACGTACACTATGAAATGTATACAATACAATTTTTCCGGCCTAAACTCATAAATTTTTTTTTATTTATTTGGATTCTAGATCTAGATATTCTAGATTCATCTATTCAAATAATACATTTCTATACTAAAGTATTTCAGGCCTTAATTACTTTATTGAAATCTTTGTTTATCTATGCAATTTGCTAATCTCTATAATATATAAAGCAAAGTTGTCGGGTGCCCGATAGGGCACTTCCCGGCGCCGCAGGCGCTTCAAATTTGGCAGGATCTTGCCTTGGGGCGACAGAACACGGGGGCCGGTTGGCCGAAAAGTCTACGATGATGGGGTCAAAACTGACCTCGACTGACCGGCGCCTTATATGAGCTATAAATCGAAAAAAAAATGTCCACGGAGGAACCTCTTCATAACTCCTGAGGTCGTAGACCGACCCTCGGGCGAATTAATTGAGCATTCAAATTCTCAATGTTTTCGAAAGCCTAAGCGAAGCTGGGCAGCATGCCTAGTCTATAATATAAGCGGGCAAGTAGTGTGTCAGTCCTTCCTTCCGTCATCGCTATAGCTTTTGGAACCATAAAAGTAAACATTCGCACCATGCTGTGCTTTTCAGTGCACCGCAGTGTCTTATTATAAGTATCAGAGTAGGGTTTGTTTATATAGCGGCATAGAGCTATTTTATAATTGCCACGGTTTTTACTTTCGCATAACGTCAAGAAAATTTTAAATACACGCAAACTGCTAAAACGTATTAAAAGGATTAATGTCAAATATCATTTTCGTTTAGGCTCCCAGAAAAAGTAGATACATTTTAATAACATAATAACAGCAGGGTAGAAAAATCAAATAAATTTAACTCTTTTCTAATTTTGACAAAGGAGGTAATTTAAAAATACATTAAACTCACGCTAATAAAAAATGTGAAAGCAAATATACGTTCGTCATAGAAGGAATTAGTGTTGCAATAATATAATTAGCAAAATGTGAATGCAAATTATTCGGATGTGTAAGAGGAAATTATTGTTAGAAAATTATAATTAGCATGGATTGATAAAAGGCAATCTTTTATTTATTTTATTCACTGAATGTAGGCCCTACTATTTATTACTTATAATTTTTAATCAACTATTCAGCAGTATTATAGGCGCGTCATCACGTTCATTAGGTGCGAAATGGATTTAGTTATGAAACTCTATTGTAAATTTTTAAAATTTAAAGTACTGGAAAAAAAAATGCGTGAATGGATAAAGTGAAATATTGTAGGTAAAACACGGATATTTTAAATACTGCCTATTATTTATACTGTTTACTAATTATTATTCTATCTTTCGGTTTGCGGACAAGCTAGGGGTTTAATAGGAGAGGCGTAGCGAGGGGGGCATATGTCCCCGGGTGCCGACCTTAGGGGGCGCCAAAGTGGGTTGGAAAAAATTTGCGAGGGGTGGGGGGTGGAAATCGAAAGTTTTAGGGCGGGGGGGGGGGGGGAGGGGGGAAAGGGATGCAAATCGAAAGTTTGAGGGGTGCAAATCACCGGAAAGGGCGCGATTTGGCGCTACGGGCTAGACTGTGAGCAATATGCCTTTGTGATTGCCTTTAAATTGTGTTTATGTTATGAGTGTTGTGTTTGTTTTTTCGTTTTTTTTTCGCGTTCGTTTATGTTGTGTTTAGTTTTGTTCTGTTCCCAAGTTGGTATATTTAAAAAAGATTTACCGTGGCGGAGCACGGGATGCAGCTAGTCTATAATATAAGCGTGCTGAGCGTGTGTCAGTCCGTCATCGCTATAGATTTTGAAACCATAAAAGTAAACATCGCAACATGCTGTGCTTTTCAGTGCACTGCAGTGTCTTATTATAAGTAATTGAGTAGGGTTGGTTTATATAACGGCATAGAGCTATTTTATAATTTCCACTGTTTGTACAATTTTGCATAACGTAAAGAGAATATTAAATACACGCACATTGCTAAAACATATTAAAAGGATCAATGTCAAATATTGTTTTCGTTTATATTCCTAGAAAAAGTGGATACATTTTAATAACATAATAACAGTACGGTAGGAAAAATCAAATTAATTTAACTCTTTTCTAATTTTGACAAAGGAGGTAATTTAAAAATACATTAAACTCACGCTAATAAAAAATGTGAATGCAAATATACGTTCGTCATAGAAGGAATTAGTGTTGCAATAATATAATTAGCAAAATGTGAATGCAAATTATTCGGATGTGTTAGAGGAAATTATTGTTAGAAAATTATAATTAGCATGGATTGATAAAAATCAATCTTTTTACATGCTTTCATTTAACTCACTTCCTCGTCAGTCTGTCGTCAGTCTGTCGTCAGTCTGTCTAGACGGAAACGCAGGAGTGAAAATTCGGACAGTTCTACTTGACCGACACGATTCACAGTTGGCACGTGGGTCAAGACATGAAGACAATGCAATCTGAAACTAAATTTGACTTAATTGGATGCCTAATTGATTTTTTATGAATTAATTAAAATTTGGACCGAATTATTAGGCATGTCTAGCCAACCACACCACACGCGTCATCAATAGCTGCGCCATCACGACCACGTAATGGCTGCGTTCAAAAACCATTGCGCGCCTACTGAACGTGATATTCAGAAGGCGCGCAATGGTTTTTAGTCATGTAACTCTATTGTAGATAAAACATGTAAAGTACTGAAAAAAAACTTCATAAAAAACGTTTTAATAACAAGCTTTTATGTAATGATGCACTAAAAAGTAGAAAATACATTATAGACTACTATTTAAATAACTATAAAGAAAAGCGTGGGTGTCTTCCTTAACATTAGTAAAGGTATCCAATAGATACTAAAGTGACCCACGCTTTTCTTTATAGTTATTTAAATAGTAGTCTATAATTTATTTTCTACTTTTTAGTGCATCATTACATAAAAGCTTGTTATTAAAACGTTTTTTATGAATTTTTTTATTTATTTTATTCACTGAATGTAGGCCCTACTGTTTATTACTTATAATTTTTAATCAACTATTCAGCACTATTATAGACGCGTCATCACGTTCATTAGGTGCGCAATGGTTTTAGTTATGAAACTCTATTGTATATTTTTTTTTAAAATTTAAAGTACTGGAAAAAAAATGCGTGAATGGATAAAGTGAAATATTGTATATATTATAGATACTGCCTATTATTTATACTGTTTTCTAATTATTATTCTATCTTTCGGATTTTATAGGAGAGGCGTAGCGAGGGGGGGGGGGGCATATGTCCCCGGGTGCCGACCTTTATGATTGCATTTAAATTGTGTTTATGTTATGAGTGTTGTGTTTGTTTTTTCGTTGTTTTTTTTTTTGCGTTCGTTTGTTTTGTGTTTAGTTTTGTTCTGTTGGTACATTTAAAAAGATTTACCGTGGCGGAGCACGGGATGCAGCTAGTATATATATATATATATATATATATATATATATATATATATATATATATATATATATATATATATATATATATATATATATTAGATATATTATATAAAAGAATTGAACTATAGAATTGAACTTTATATATTAGATATATTCTGTTCTATTCGCGTTTTTTTAGTCCTTGTAAAAAAATGCCAATCGCCAATAAATTAATCATTCAAATTCTCAAACGTTATTTAAATACCTAAACGGGCCTTTCGATCTAGACAGACAGACTGACTGACAACTGACGAGAAAGTGAGTTAAAAAATAAAAGCTTGTAAAAATTTCATAAAAAACGTTTTAATAACAAGCTTTTATGTAATAATGCACTAAAAAGTAGAAAATAAATTATACACTACTATTTAAATAACTATAAAGATATGCTCGGGTCACTTTAGTATCTATTGAATACCTTTACTGATATTTAGGAAGAGACCAACGCTTTTTTCTTTATAGTTATTTAAATAGTGTATAATTTATTTTCTACTTTTTAGTGCATTATTACATAAAAGCTTGTTATTAAAATGTTGATTATGAAATTTATTTTTGTACTTTACATGTTTTATTTACACTAGAGTTGCATGACTAAAAACCATTGCGCACCTATTGAACGTGATCACGTGCTATTGAACATGATGACACGTATATAATCGTGCAAAATAGTTGGATGAGATAGCCTACTAATTTGGTCAAAATTTTAATTAAATCATAAAAAATTAATTACCCATCAAAGTAAGTCAAATTTAAAGTCATGTTACAAAGTCTTCATGTCTTGACCTACGTGTCAATATTGAAACAAATCTGTCAGTTAGAAGTGTCTGAAATTTTGCTCGGGTTTTCGATCTAGACAGACAGACAAACTGACGACTGACGAGAAAGTGAGTTGAATAAAAGCTTGTAAAAATAAACATAATGTAATGTAATTGGGATTAACTATGCTTCAATGCATTAAGTTTTTGTAAGAATTGTGTAAAGCCTTCCCACTATAGTTTAATCCACATTTTGTTCCGCTGTGAGGAAGAGACCACATATAAGTTCCCAGCCTGTACACATATGCTCCACTGGAACCTGGACATGTGCTGGTTGTGTACGTGCGTTGATACCAACCATGTTCGTTATATTCATTAATCAATTGTCCTATAGAGACCATTTCAGGACAGCCATGTGGATGTGACACTATTATCAGTAAACTATCGTCTGGGTATTTTTCCTTTAGTATTTTACACAGATCATTAAACTTTTGACACTTTTTGTCCAGTTGATCAGCCAGCGCTTCGTCACATGTCTCATAAGCCAGTTCACACCTGTCATAAAACTCGCCGTTACACCACATATCCCAGCCTTCAAGGCTGACCCCAGAACTTTTACTGTCATCAATATCTAAAGTGCATTTAGTTTTTTCCGCTTCGCTCTGATCAAACACCACGTGTGACGCTGTCATCACAGTGACCACCCACCATATTTTACTGGGTGTGTCCGAGTTTTTACATTTGCCACATGAACAAATCCTCCAACCTTCACTCTCTGTGCGCCTGTACACACGATACAACGACCCCGTCCCAGTCCTCAACACGTCACTTCCTCTGATGTTATAAAATGGATACTGACTAGACTCTGATCTCTCTAGACTGGTGTAATTGACCTTTATCATGACCGTTAAAGCAGACAAAGCTTTGATTACCTCAAATACGTTGTCGTCACGGTAAAGAAAGGGGAGATGATCCAAGTTAAAATCATTAACAGGTGTGAAGTTTATATGACCTGGATTCTTATTACAGCCTACACAATGCTTGTGTAAGTCAGCTTCACCTTCGTAGCAGATCTCACATTCATGATGTCCTGGAGAGGTACAAGAACAGACAACTCACAAGATTAATAACATGTTAACTCTTTATTGTTTTCTCATTGTGAAAATTTAACACATAAATAAAGATGTTTATTAACATTTTAAAAAACTGTAATAAAATAAAAAAGTCACCCACCTTCAATAAACGTCTCCTCACAGCTCCTTGTTTTAACTTCTCTAAGCTTTTCTTTATCTTGCATTTTATCTCCTTAAATGATATTTGAATGAAATTTTAAAAATGGAATAGGTGAATTGTAATCAATATCGGATCAAGTTGGGGGGGGGGGTAAAGGGCTGCAGTCATATGCCTCCGATTTTTGGTAGCCCCAAATTCACCGCTTAATTGCTGGTTTTTACTTTAAAAACTAAAGTTTTAATGCATGCATTAGAAGCTTCGAGCACATACTTAATTTAAGAATAGTTCCTAAATGTCATCACCTCCTACCCAGACATTGTTTATATAAAGCCGACGCTTCTTGAAATAGCATAGACCGGACCAGCAATCGCTTATGACAATTAAAATAGTGTTGTTGTTTTTTTGCGTTAAAAAAACAGCAGCCGAATTGTGATTAATGGTTGACCCATATCTTAAAAACAGCCAGCAATTAAAAGTTATTTTGTCGGATCGCTTGGGTTTACACTGTGAATTAGTTATCACTCGCATTCAGACAATCAGATTTTTAGACTAGCCATAGCAATTAATGGAAAAATTCCTGACCATCTTTAAATTGTGTTACCCATTTTATTTACCAAACAAAGGCCACAAAAATGATTTGTTTCCCATGAAAAAAAACTTCAAAACACCCTGCCCGTCATCTGCTGTCGTTGCTTTCTGCTCGCAAAATGTTTACATAAAGCGATGCTCCCAGGCATATTATACTTTTTTCTGGCAAACAATTCGGTTGATTAACTAGTTTCAGGAAATAATAATTATCATTAATAAACCGGGAGTGATCTCCCCTAAACTTTCTCGAATATTCATATATAAAATAACAGGGGATGAAAACTCGGGCTATAGACATGATTTTTAATCCATTTTAAATACTTAAAGTTTAAAAAATAGAATAAAATCTCGCAGACAAATTAATTGCACACCAAGTGAACGCCAAATAAAAAAGCGCATAATAGTGCGCAATATTATTAGTACTTGTAAAATTTACAATAGTTTTTTGAGAAATCGGAAGTAGCGTAAATTACTACTTCCGGTCAACGGAAATTACTCAAAATTTAACAGAAGGTAGAGAAATAGATCTTTTACTTACATGTGAAATTTCATTTATCTATCTGAAATAGTACTCAAGTTATAGGCTTTTGAAAAATTCAAAGTAGGAAAAGTACCACTTTCGGTTATCGGAAATCGCTCAAAAGTTGATACGGATCTACGATTTTGATAAAATACTTATATATGAAATTGCATCAACCTAGCTGTAACTGTACTCAAGTAATCGTGTTTACACACGGACACACACACAGACAGACAGACAGACAGACACACAGACATACGGACAAGATTGCAAAATTATGTTTTTTGTGCACGATAACAAGACTTTCTCTATACTTCGTATATACGAGAAAGTAAAAAGTAAAAAAAAAAACCCCACGTTTTCTGATTGAACTAAAAAGTAGAAAATAATAGCTATACATCACAATAATGCAAGCGATCACTCTACTATAAGCGATGAAAAACGTGGGGCGCCGAAGTAAAAGTTTTTTATCGGTCATTGTTAATATAAGATGTAAAAGTTATATTACTATTGATTAGATTAGGGAGCTTGTAGAGAGTCAACAGTATTAGAAACTGTAAGAAAATCACGGCGCCCCACGTTTTTCATCGCTTATAGTAGAGTGATCGCTTGCATTATTGTGATGTATAGCATTTATTTTCTACTTTTTAGTTCAATCAGAAAACGGGTTTTTTTTTAACTTTTTAAATGATAATTATTTTCAACTTTTTAGTCTTTGTCTGTTTGTTTGCTTTAAAATCTTGCTATCGATTTTATCTTTTCGCATTCACTTTTTTTTTGGGTAAACGAAGACAACTCGTAAAAAACATGGGCCTTGAACCCGTATCGAGTGGGTTAGCAATCGTGTGCCCAACCACTCGACCATATTATCTCCCCCATACTGGCCACCAGTTGTTACGTTCTGGTTGTTTGTACACAAACACCGCGTGACAACTACTCAGTAAGCAACAAGAGTGAGAGTACCGAACCTTGTTTTCATCAAATTACAATTACTGGGTTATGTCCCTTTTCCCCCACGTTTTTTGTACAATTATATAGCGGTCTAAAATGATCAATAAAATGTTTCCATGGATCAAATTAGTAATAATAACAATTGAATATTATATTGTCATCGGAAACAAAGCTTCCCTGAAAATTTCAGCGCGCTAGCTAACTGGGAAGTGCCCGAAATTTCGATCGCAATATTTGATTGGAAAGACGCGAAAGCAAGTTAAAGAAAACGTGGGGAAAATACTGTAGCTTGACAAAACAGACAGAAATATATGTTATACTTCACCATGTAACGGTAATGAGTAATCCGTCTATGGCGCTTTAATCCAAACATTTTTAAAAAGGGGGGGGGGGGGGAAGTAACATGTTTTGAATATTAGTTATTGAACTAAAAGGTAGGTTAATATAATTGCTTAATTTGCCGAATAAATCAGAATTAAAACCGAAACTACAGGGCAGGTAGGATCTACAAAGTATATGGCAAAGTTTATCTCAAGAGTATAGAAAATGTTGTTGTAAGTCATAGCTCATTAACAGTGGTGGATTATGGAGTTGAACAGGAGACACCCAATTTCGGGGGCCCCAAAATGTACTCTTATCAACAACAGTAAAAATAATTTTCCTATAGATTTTCTTATAAGCTTTTTTCCACTTAATTTACAAATACGAAAGTATATGAGAGTTTTTTCTCATGAAATATACGTGTATCTCATAGTTGGGACATCAACGCCCACGCTCTGTCATCGCTTCATATCAAACAATGTTTGTTTAACTTTAGCTCTCTCTAAAATAGTAATGTGTTTCTGATTGATCTTGATTAGCCTATAAAAGACGAGCAGTAAGTGTATTACATCAGGTTAGCTTACTTTGACAGATCTTCAAATGGCTGATCACAAGCAGCACTATAACTCTAACATGTTTACAACACTAGGCCTATTTAACAAAGGTATGGAGTGATGTTTTCAAATTGTGTTATCCGAATCAAATTTTCGTATAGTTACGATTTTAAAAGATAATGTATAATCAAGCACGATTTTAAAAGTACTGTAGTTGTAATATCAGGGTTGTAACAAAATTTATCCTGGATTGAAACTCCTCAAGTAATAGAGGCTAAAGTTTGAATTTTATTCTCCTGTATGTTTAGCCATTTAAGCCTAATATTTTTATTTTCATTAAAAACAATTTTAAACGAACTCCTACCTAAACATGTTAGACAAGTACTATTTCCAGTCAACAGAAATTACTCAAAATTTGTTAGAAGGCAGAAAATAAATTAGATCTGTAACTTATATGTGAAATTTCATTTATCTATCTGAAATAGTGCTCAAGTTATAGGCTTTTGAAAATTTTAAATTAGAAAAAGTTCCACTTCTGGTTATCGGAAATCGCTCAAAAGTTGATACGATACGGATCTATAATGTTGATATAATACTTATATATTATATGAAATTTCATCAACCTGGCTGTAACGGAACTCAAGTTATCGTGTTTACATACACACACACACACACAGTAAAATCTCGATTTTTTTTCACTATTACAATACTTTCTCTATACTTAGTATACGAGAAAGTTTTAAACCGGAATAGAGACATGACTTTTAATCCATTCTAAATACTTAAACTTTTTAAAATATAATAAAATCTCGCAGGAAAAAGAATTGCACACCAAGTGAACGCCAAATAAAAATGTACATACTAGTGCGGAAAATTATTAGTATTTTATAAATTCACATGAGTTTTTGAGAAATCGGAAATTGCGTAAATTACTACTTCCGGTCAACGGAAACTACTCAGGCTTACGGTTAGCACAACTACGACAAAAGGGGGAGGGTGGAAGGGGAGAGGTTGTTTGTTATGGAAACACCGTAAAATTGAGTAAAAGTAATATAATGACGTCACGTTGATTAGCCAAAATTACCCTAACCCGTATAGTCGTTAATAGCTAGACAGCCACAAATGAGAGGAAAATGTTCGGTCTACAGCATCTTCAATAAAAATGTCTGACTATCTTTATGAAAAATAGTGTGTTAAAAAGCCGTGCGCGATCACTCTTTCAATAAAGAACACTTTTAGATAGTCTTTGCATACTCACACTATCACAGTAAGTTTACACGCCGTAGACTAAAATTAAATCCCAACTTTTTTCTAAATTTTTTAAAAACCCAGCAAAGAACTAGTAGTTTTAAAAAACTTTTACAAGTAAAAACATTTATCAAATTTACTTTTTACAAATTTTATTTAACTTACTGTCTGTCGGTCTGTCGTCAGTCTGTCTAGCTTGAAATTATGGGCACTTCTAACTAACAGATCCGGTTCATAGTTGAATCATTTTACAAAGTCGTACAGTTATACTTCCGGAATGTATTTTTAACGTATTCTTTTTTTTTTTTTTGAGTAAAATAATTAAGTTGGGCCGGCAATGTTTTACGGCCAACAACAACCAAACATTATACTCTAAAGTTAACATGTGTAAAGTGCATCAGTTTCTTTCTATCTGAAAAAAAAAACAATTACCAACATAACACGTTAAAGATTAAGGTGAATAGAATAATTGTATATTACTTTCGATGTCTTTATACATTTTTTAATTACAATTTTAAAACTAATTAAGTAAAAAAAACCAACACAATAACAATCTAACCTTCCCGCTACTGGATGATAAGTATTAAGATGTTGCAACTTGACGCATACATTAAATAAGAAATGCTGTATTGTCCTGTTTTGTTTACTGAATAGCGTTAAGGAGTGTTTAAGATTCGAGTGGAGTACAAAATTTAGGTCAGTATGGCGTCGGTAGCTAAAACATGACGCAAACAGATACCACTCTCAACTTAGCCTTATATGGTTGTTTCCTGGTAAATAGGGGTTGCAGTCTTAAATAATATAAAACTTAACTACGATCAACACACACAAACACACACACACACACTTATTTTTCAACCAAACTTTGGTATTTTTATTTTATTACGCAAAACATTTGTTGTGAATTTCATTGTTTTACTTTCCTTGGCCACTCAAGCTGGTTCAACCCTATTTAGCGGTGGGACCACTTTTAAATGACTTAATGGCTAAATCAAGCTAGGGGCTCTGTTTTAAAGTGCGCCGTATTTTAAGGAATACGTTGGGCTACTATCAACTTCGACTACATCGAAACAGGCGCATACGCAGGCTTTCCAATGTTCTTGCACCCCGGCTTTCCAGGAGTAAACTATTGCGTTTTCTAGTGGCTACCTGATCACATGGTGTCGGTAAATTGGGCATCCTGCAGTGGGGGTCAGGAGTAAAACATGATTCATCATTTAAACTGCAAGAGGGGCGATCTCCGATGCCCTTACTTGTTTTCAAGAGCACCCTACACTTGGGACACGTTAGCTTACGTCACTCGATAAATAAAAGTTACCAGTGGTCTTAACTGGCACCCGTACTGTAGTGTAACCTTTGGCTCCATAGAGAGTCACGCGACGCCCCTTTCACCTCGGCGAGGGACTTTCAACCTTACTATTACGGAGGGTAGTTAACGCAATATCATGGCTTTAATACAGCTCGCCTTGGGGCATCTGGGCTGTAATATGGGCAAACCCGCGTCCTTTTAACTCTCTATGTTATTTCAGGTCGAGCAAGCAATTATTTGTAAACCTAATATACCCATATATAGAGCTGGTTTCAAAAGTCAGCCGCAGCATTTAATGTATCTACTTAAATGCACTTAACCTCTAGCAAGTAGATTCACCACGTCCTGGCTATGTGACAGTAAACCAGGTCGCTCTAAACGCCAAACTAAGTCTAGCTATCATATCGTTTATACTTGCTAACGTTCATTATAAACCATTTCTTTATAATGTTGTGTGAATCTTAGCTGCTAGATTAATTAAAATTCAAAATTGATAACATTGTCCTCTTGTGTTCAACAATCGTAATTTTCTGCATTCGTCACGTAATAGCTTAGGCAGGGGTCTCCAAACTTTTCAGCCCGAGGGCCGCATTAACTATTAAATATTAGTTCGGGGGCCAGAGTTTCTTTAAGGCATCTCGTCAGGGTCGTGGCGCCCCCCCTCCCCCCCCCCCCCCCCGAAGAACTTTACCGCCCATCCCCCCCCCCCCCCAACGAAATATAATTTATATAGAAATATATACAAATTTCAAGTGTCCACCCCCCCCCCCCACCCGAGGTCCACGTTTGTTCTCAAATTGTTCTTCACGTATTTCATTCTTGAAAATGTTTGTTCACACAGGTATGTTGTTCGAAAATGTGAAAGGTATTTTGGTGCAAAAGTTTTAATATTAGGAAAGACTCCCTTGTGCAAAAACATATGAAAACCCATCCGCTCTTCTTTAAACGTGTCTCTAAGGAAGTCCTTTTCTTGAAATTCAATGACCTCCAGCTGCAGTTCATCTTTGCCACTGGCCACATTTGTTTCAAATGGGCTTTGAAACAGTCTCACTTCTTCTGCCTTTGAATCCAAGTCAGAAAACCACTACTGAAACTGCAGCTGGAGGTCTTTAATGATCTCGTATGTAAATGACGTGGGGAACTCAGTGATTGGTTCAGCCGTAAAGGCCTTGCACTGCTGAAAAAGTGTCAAATTGCTAGCCTGTACTTGTTCCAAAAACATGATAAGTTTGTATCTAAAGGCCTATAGGTGGGTGCATAGATAAGAAACTAAATTTCCTTCTCTTGCCGTTTTAGGTTCAGAAAATTTAAAAGACTAGTTATGTCTGCAGCATAGGCCAATTTCTATACGCACTATTCATCAGACAATAATGGCTGTGACTTGCCTTTACTATCAGGAAGTCACCTATTTCTTTTCTTAGATACTCTGCTCGGAATTTTCTCGCAAAATTAGCAATCTTACTGATGTGAAATATGGTAAATCTTGCGATTTTCTGTTTGTCTCTGAACTATCAATGGTTAGATATCCTCTTCGGTAACAGTGTCATACATTATATGTAGGGAAGCCAGCTCTTGCGCTATGTTCAGGTCTTCATCCACATCTATAATAAACACAAGAAGTTGAGAGGTGGAACAGCTGTCCAGCGACTCATCCATTGCAATTGAAAAATGGTGAAACTTGCTTGAATTTTTCGCTATTTGAGTTGCAATGTTTTCACCAATGTCAGCAACACGGCGAGTAATTGTATTTGCACCCAAAGCTACATTTTCAAATAGTTTTGAATTTTCTGTACAAAGCTCCTCAGCCACCTCCAACAACCATTTATTCAGTGGACAAAAAGATCGTCGCGGGCCGGATAAAATGACCTCGCCGGCCGCATCCAGCCCGCGGGCCGCAGTTTGGAGACCCCTGGCTTAGAGTAAATCAAGTTTTCTAAACAAACACCTTGTTATAATGTCATGTTACTTTTCCCACAAAGGTCTGTTTTTCAAATGAGAAGCTTGTCTGAAATAACATAGAGAGTAAGATCAACTAGGAGACAAGGGGCCGGTGTGGTCGAAAAGTCTCGAGTTCGAACCCTCGGGCAGATAAGGCTCGAAAGCTGGGGACAGCCACTCTTCTAAAAATCAAACTACTGCTTGATCTTGGTTGGACAAAGGCTATTAGAAGGAAATTCAAAAAGAAACACAGGCTGAAATATGAGTATACTTACATGTGTTGGAGGCGTAGTCATGGGTAAGGGCTAGGGTAAGGGCTAGGGTCAGGGCTAGGGTCAGGGCTAGGGTCAGGGTTAGGGTCAGGGCTAGGGTCAGGGCTAGGGTCAGGGCTAGGGTCAGGGCTAGGGTCAGATATAGGGCAAGGGCTAGTGTCAGTATCAGGGTTAGGCTTAAATCAATGTCTAGAGTTGGGTTTTGGTTTTGGGTTTATTTTAAAGTGAAATGAATTCTTAGGTTTTTTGTCTTTGTCTTATAGTTAGGATTAAGGTAATATATAGGTATAGAGTTGGAGTTAGAATCAGGATTCTATTTTGCGGATGACGGGGGGGGGGGGGGGGTAATTCCCCAGGGGGGGGGGGGTAATTGCTCCGGGGGGAAATACGAGGGGTGGGAATGTCCGGGGGGTAATGTCCTGTAGCCATTTGCCACACCACCCATGGGAAGAACGAGCTACAATATACGTTATTATAAGACGCGTTAAGTAATCTGTTAGACATTCACACTTCGGCATAGACACAATTGTAGTCAGTTTGGCTAAGAGATACGTACTAAAAATTAACATTTGAAAGGGAATCTCGGCGAACGCTAAATGAAACACATTGTACTAAAAATATTTTGCATAGATAATTTTAAATTACCTGTAAAGAATTGATTTGAATGGTTATGCAATTCATTTCATTTTAATTAAATTATTTTTTAAAATTTTTAATATATAGCCTACATGCAAATGCATATTTTAATATTGAGTAAGTGTCGCTGGTGCATAACTTTTAATTAAAAAAAACACATTTAAAATAGTAAACTTTGAAACAGCAATCTTACATCCTTCCGAGAGGGATCAATAGAAAATATATACTTAATCGTGAGTAAACACACTTTTAATATGGTGCAAATTCTGTAATTCTTAGAATAAGGAAACAACGCAAAAAGAACAATCAAGAATTATCTGGTGAAAAGTATGCAGGATGTGGGATGGGACAAAGTTCGTGCATTTGGTGAGTGACAGAAGTCACGTACGTGCTATCTGTCAGCTTTGCGTAGTTACCGTAACATGAATTTAAGTAAGTGGGCAATTGTGTTTTAAAATTTATATAGTCTAGGTCTTAATGGTGCATTACTTTTACTTCAAAAACACATTTAACATTACAGTCAAAAGTAAACTGCAAAAATCAATCATACCTGCCTCGGAGACGGATGAGCAAAAAGTATACTAAATCGTGAGCAAAAACACACGTTCAATATGGCGCAGCTTCTGGTATTCTTAAAATAGCAAACACGTAATGAGGAATTCAGAACATTTGAATGTGGAGGATGTGGGCGGGGCATATGGCGGCCATGTCGTGTGTTGTTCTTTTTACTTTCTCTTATATACGAAGTATATAGCGAGAGTATTGTAATCGTGCAAAAAAAAATTTGGTTAAGGAAAGATTGGCAGTCTTTTTAATCTCCTATAACAGTTTAACATCGTGTAGTTAACTATGTTTACTACATAGCTGATAGTGCAAAACTGTCTGAAGAAAAATGTTTTTTTCTGTTTCCAAGTCTTTGTGCCTTTGTTAACTTAGAAAATAACAGGAGGAACTAGAATATATTTTGAATCCCAAAGTCAACAGCATACATCATTAATTGCGTTGTACAAATTAGGGTCAAAAGTAAGCGTGCATTCATTAACTAACTGGACTAATTCTAATTTACGATATATAATAAATTACAAGTTCGACAATGACTTAGCCTACGTCATTCAAAAACAAGGGACACAAAAGAGCTGTGAGTAGAATTTGTAAGGTTTTCTTGCATACCTAGTACAAAACATTAAGGCCATCGCCCCAAATCAACATCCCTACCCCCAATAACATCCCCTTCCCTTTCACACAACCCCAGTCAATCACCCCTTTCCTCCGTGATCATTCAGCCCATGTCTTACTATTTGTTCTATCTCTATTTGAATCAAAATACGTCTCCATAACATTAAGCATTTGCTTAAGCATAAAGTTAACGTTAAACATTAGTTGAACCCGAACCTAATTCGAACGGGATATGAAATGAAAGAAAAAGAAAATAGCTTCGTACGCCACGTAATCGGGAATTTTTGTACAGTCACTGAGCATGTCTTAAA